ATAGTGGGGATGACTGTGAAATAGGTAGGTCACAATTATTTTCATTTATAAGATAGGCTTCGTTTGTTACTTTACTTAGGACTGTTATACCCTAGCAGATACTCTACTCAATGTTTCTTAAATGCTTATATTTCACCAAAATCTAAACTTAATAAGAAAGAGTAAATTTAAAATAGGTTGTATTATTTGATCTTACCTTAACTATTTGAATCCGTTCTATGTTCACTTGCAAGCGAAAGCTCCTAATACTAAAGATGACAATGGTTCAGGCCTGCATTTTTATTTAAACAAAGTGCTTTTGTTTACAACATTTTAGGTGACTTTAAAATGCACACAAATGCATATTTGAAATAGTATATCTGAGCATCTTGATATCAATTTGGGTTTAGAATGTCAAAATTAACTTCTGTATATATCTAACCTATATATCATTCAGAGATACATTTATAAATTTAAATTATAATCATACTTGTTGTAACATATTTTTCAATCATATGTGTCTTCGCCTTCAGGTCCATTGTAACTATTGCTTATATTACATCATAGCCATCGATAATTCCTACAAATATTCTACTGTTTTCAAAATTATAGTAAAGGTAAATGTAAAGAAAAAGGTAGTCCCTATTTATTACTGAACGTACGGGAATGAGCTGTTGGCTCATCGTACAAAGCCTCGGTATTGTGTGGTAGAGTGGCCAGTTCCTTTGCACACTGCCTTTCTCCTCCCAAGTAGTGAACCGGGTATCCATTTATATTCCTGTGTAGAAAAAGGTTAAGAGTCCCAAACACAACCCTGTGCCAACCGCTACCACATAAAATAATACTATGTGATACAATTATATGATTTTACAATTTACTTTGGTAAACCTATTAATAGAATTAGGTACAACCCAGCAGTCGACAACTGAATACAGTAAAACCGAACCATCGACAACTTACATTAGCACAGTCGACTTATCGACAACTATATACAGTACAACTGAGCAGTCAACAACTGGCATTAGTACTAGAGAACAACCAACAACTAAATACAGCAACACCGAGCAGTCCACAACCCATATTAGTACAACATTTGAGCCATCGACAACTAAATATAGTACTACAAATAAGTCAACAACTGAATATAGTATCACAGAGGCGACGACAACTGAAATCAGTGCAACTCAGTCATCGATAACTGAATACAAAACAACTCAACCATTGACAACTAAATACAGACCAACTGAGCCGTCAACAACGGAATACAGTACAACTGAACCGTCGACAACTGAATACAGTACAACTGAACCATCGAGAACAGAATACAGTACTACTGAATTGTCGACAAATTCATACAGTACAACTGAACCGTCAACAATAGAATACAATACTACTGGACCATCGACAACTGAATACATTACAACTGAACCGTTGACAACAGAATACAGTACAACTGAACTATCGACAACTGAATATAGTACAACTGAACTATCGACAACTGAATACAGTACAACTGAATCGTCAACAACTGAGTACAGCACAACAGAACCATCGACAACAGAATACAGTACTACTGAAACTTCGACAACAAAATACAGTACTACTGAACCGTCGACAAAAAAATACAGTACTACTGACTCGTCGACAACTGAATACAGTACAACTGAACAGTCGACAACAGAATACAGTACAACTGACTCGTCGACAACTGAATACAGTACAACTGAACCTTCGACAACCGAATACAGTACAACTGAACCGTCAACAATGGAATACAGTACAACTGAATCGTCGACAACTGAATACAGTACTACTGAACCTTCGACAACAGAATACAGTACTATTGAACCGTCGACAACTGAACTGTCGACAACTGAACTGTCCACAACTGAACTGTCCACAACTGAACTGTCCACAACAGAATACAGTGCAACTGAACTGTCCACAACTAAATACAGTACAACTGAACCGTCGACAACAGAATACAGTACAACTGAACAGTCGACAACTGAATATAGTACAACTGAACCGTCGACAACAGAATACAGTACAACTAAACCGTCGACAACTGAATACAGTACAACTGAACCTTCGACAACCGAATACAGTACAACTGAACCGTCAACAATGGAATACAGTACAACTGAATCGTCGACAACTGAATACAGTACTACTGAACCTTCGACAGAATACAGTACAACTGAACCTTCGACAACAGAATACAGTACTACTGAACCGTCGAATACTGAACTGTCCACAACTGAATACAGTGGAACTGAACTGTCCACAACTGAATACAGTACAACTGAACCGTCGACAACAGAATATAGTACAACTGAACAGTCGACAACTGAATACAGTACAACTGAACCGTCGACAACTGAATACAGTACAACTGAACCGTCGACAACTGAATACAGTACAACTGAACCGTCGACAACTGAATACAGTACAACTGAACCTTCGACAACCGAATACAGAACAACTGAACCGTCAACAATGGAATACAGTACAACTGAATCGTCGACAACTGAATACAGTACTACTGAACCTTCGACAACAGAATACAGTACTATTGAACCGTCGACAACTGAACTGTCCACAACTGAACTGTCCACAACTGAACTGTCGACAACTGAATACAGTGGAACTGAACTGTCCACAACTGAATATAGTACAACTGAACCGTCGACTACCGAATACAGTACAACTGAACCGTCGACAACAGAATATAGTACAACTGAACAGTCGACAACTGAACTGTCCACAACAGAATACAATGCAACTGAACTGTCCACAACTAAATACAGTACAACTGAACCGTCGACAACAGAATACAGTAAAACTGAACAGTCGACAACTGAATATAGTACAACTGAACCGTCGACAACCGAATACAGTACAACTGAACCGTCGACAACCGAATACAGTACAACTGAACCGTCGACAACTGTATACAGTACAACTGAACCTTCGACAACCGAATACAGTACAACTGAACCGTCAACAATGGAATACAGTACAACTGAATCGTCGACAACTGAATACAGTACTACTGAACCTTCGACAACAGAATACAGTACTATTGAACCGTCGACAACTGAACTGTCGACAACTGAACTGTGGACAACTGAACTGTCCACAACTGAATACAGTGGAACTGAACTGTCCACAACTGAATACAGTACAACTGAACCGTCGACAACAGAATATAGTACAAAAGAACAGTCGACAACTGAATACAGTACAACTGAACCGTTGACAACTGAATACAGTACAACTGAACCGTCGACAACCGAATACAGTACAACTGAACCGCCAACAACCGAATACAGTACAACTGAACCGTCAACAACAGAATACAGTACAACTGAACCGTTGACAACTGAATACAGTACAACTGAAACCTCATCAACAGAATACAGTACAACTGAACCGTCGACAACCGAATACAGTACAACTGAACAGTCGACAACTCAATACAGTACAACTGAACTATCGACAACGGAATACAATACAACAGAATACAGTACAACTGAACCGTTGACAACAGAATACAGTACAACTCAACCGTCGACAAATGAATACAGTACAACTGAGCCGTCGACAACTGAATACAGTACAACTGAACTGTCGACATCTGAATACAGTACAACTGAATCGTCAACAACTGAGTACAGCACAACAGAACCATTGACAACAGAATACAGTACAACTGAACCATCCACAACTAAATACAGTACAACTGAACAGTCGACAACAGAATACAGTACAACTGAACAGTCGACAACTGAATATAGTACAACTGAACCGTCGACAGCAGAATACAGTACAACTGAACCGTCGACAACTGAACCGTCGACAACCGAATACAGTACAACTGAATCGTCAACAACGGAATACAGTACAACTGAATCGTCGACAACTGAAGACAGTACTACTGAACCTTCGACAACAGAATACAGTACTATTGAACCGTCGACTACTGAACCGTCGACAACTGAACTGTCCACAACTGAACTGTCCACAACTGAATACAGTGGATCTGAACTGTCCACAACAGAATATAGTACAACTGAACAGTCGACAACTGAATACAGTACAACTGAACTGTCGACAACTGAATACAGTACAACTGAACCGTCGACAACTGAATACAGTACAACTGAACCGCCAACAACCGAATTCAGTACAACTGAACCGTCAACAACAGAATACAGTACAACTGAACAGTTGACAACTGAATACAGTACAACTGAAACCTCATCAACAAAATACAGTACAACTGAACCGTCGACAACAGAATACAGTACAACTGAACCGTCAACAACTCAATACAGTACAACTGGACCGTCAACAACAGAATACAGTACAACTGAACCGTTGACAACAGAATACAGTACAACTCAATCGTCGACAAATGAATACAGTACAACTGAGCCGTCGACAACTGAATACAGTACAACTGAACTGTCGACATCTGAATACAGTACAACTGAATCGTCAACAACTGAGTACAGCACAACAGAACCATTGACAACAGAATACAGCACAACAGAACCATTGACAACAGAATACAGTACAACTGAACCGTCCACAACTAAATACAGTACAACTGAACAGTTGACAACAGAATACAGTACAACTGAACAGTCGACAACTGAATATAGTACAACTGAACCGTCGACAGTAGAATACAGTACAACTGAACCGTCGACAACTGAATACAGTACAACTGAACCGTCGACAACCGAATACAGTACAACTGAATCGTCAACAACGGAATACAGTACAACTGAATCGTCGACAACTGAATACAGTACTACTGAACCTTCGACAACAGAATACAGTACTATTGAACCGTCGACAACTGAACTGTCGACAACTGAACTGTGGACAACTGAACTGTCCACAACTGAATACAGTGGAACTGAACTGTCCACAACTGAATACAGTACAACTGAACCGTCGACAACAGAATATAGTACAACTGAACAGTCGACAACTGAATACAGTACAACTGAACCGTCCACAACTGAATACAGTACAACTGAACCGCCAACAACCGAATACAGTACAACTGAACCGTCAACAACAGAATACAGTACTACTGAACCTTCGACAACAGAATACAGTACTACTGAACGGTCGACAACTGAACTGTCCACAACTGAATACAGTGCAACTGAACTGTCCCCAACTGAATACAGTACAACTGAACCGTCGACAACAGAATACAGTACGACTGAACAGTCGACAACCGAATATAGTACAACTGAACCGTCGACAACTGAATACAGTACAACTGAACCGTCGACAACCGAATACAGTACAACTGAAACCTCATCAACAGAATACAGTACAACTGAACCGTTGACAACAGAATACAGTACTACTGAACCGTCGACAACTGAAGAACTGTCAACAACGCAATACAGTACAACTGAACCTTCGACAACAGAATATAGTACGACTGAACAGTCGACAACTGAATATAGTACGACTGAACCGTCGACAACTGAATACAGTACAACTGAACCGTCGAAAACCGAATACAGTACAACTGAAACCTCATCAACAGAATACAGTACAACTGAACCGTTGACAACAGAATACAGTACTACTGAACCCTCGACAACTGAAGAACTGTCAACAACGCAATACAGTACAAATGAGCCATCGACAACTGAATACAGTTCAATACAACCGTCGGCAACTGAATACAGTACAACGGGACCGTCGACAACAGAATACAGTACTACTAAACCAGGGACAATAGAATACAGTACAACTGAACCGTCGACAACAAAATACAGTACAACTGACCCGTTGACAACAGAATACAGTATTACTGAACCGTTGACAACTGAACTGTCCACAACAGAATACACTGAACTGTCCACAACTGAATACAGTACAACTGAACCGTCGACAACAGGATATAGTACAACTGAATCATCGACAACTGAATACAGTACTACTGAACCTTCGACAACAAAATACAGTACTATTGAACCGTCGACAACTGAACTGTCCACAACTGAATACATTGCAACTGAACTGTCCACAACTGAATACAGTACAACTGAACCGTCGACAACCGAATACAGTACAACTGAACTGTCAACAACAGAATACAGTACAACTGAACCGTCGACAACTGTATACAGTACAACTGAAACCTCATCGACAGAATACAGTACAACTGAACCGTTGACAACAGAATACAGTACTGCTGAACCGTCGACAACTGAAGAACTGTCAACAAAGCAATACAGTACAAATGAGCCATCGACAACTGAATATAGTTCAACACAACCGCTGTCAACTAAATACAGTACAACTGGACCGTCGACAACAGAATACAGTACTACTGAACCAGGGACAATAGAATACAGTACAACTGAACCGTCGACAACAGAATACAGTACAACTGACCCGTTGACAACAGAATACAGTATTACTGAACCGTTGACAACTGAACTTTCCACAAGAGAATACAGTGCAACTGAACTGTCCACAACTGAATACAGTACAACTGAACCGTCGACAACAGAATATAGTACAACTGAATCATCGACAACTGAATACAGTACTACTGAACCTTCGACAACAGAATACAGTACTACTGAACCGTCGACAACTGAACTGTCCACAACAGAAAACGGTGCAACTGAACTGTCCACAACTGAATACAGTACAACTGAACCGTCGACAACAAAATACAGTACTACTGAACCGTCAACAACAGAATACAGTACAACTGATCTGTCGACAACAGAATACAGTACAACTGAACCGTTGACAACAGAATACAGTTCTACTGAACCGTCGACAACTGAAGAACTGTCAACAACGCAATACAGTACTACTGAACTTTCGACAACAGAATACAGTACAACTGAACCGTCGACAACTGAATACAGTACAACTGAACCGTCAACAACAGAATACAGTACAACTGAACCGTCGACAGCTGAATACAGTACAACTGAAACCTCATCAACAGAATACAGTACAACTGAACCGTTGACAACAGAATACAGTACTACTGAACCGTCGACAACTGAAGGACAGTTAACAACGCAATACAGTACAAATGAGCCATCGACAACTGAGTATAGTTCAACACAACCGTCGGCAACTGAATACAGTACAACTGGACCGTCGACAACTGAATACAGTACAACTGACCCGTTGACAACAGAATACAGTATTACTGAACCGTTGACAACTGAACTGTCCACAACAGAATACAGTGCAACTGAACTGTCCACAACTGAATACAGTACTATTGAACCGCCAACAACGCAATACAGTACAAATGAGTTATCGACAACTGAATACAGTTCAACACAACCGTCGCCAACTGAATACAGTACAACTGGACCGTCGACAACAGAATACAGTACTACTGAACCATGGACAACAGAATACGGTACAACTGAACCGTTGAAAGCAGAATACAGTACTACTGAACCGTCGACAACTGAACTGTCCACAACAGAATACAGTGCAACTGAACTGTCCACAACTGAATACAGTACAACTGAACAGTCGACAACAGAATATAGTACAACAGAATACAGTGCAACTGAACTTTCCACAAATGAATACAGTACAACTGAACCGTCGACAACAGAATATAGTACAACTGAACAGTCGACAACTCAATATAGTACAACTGAACTGTCCACAACTGAATACAGTACATTTGAACCGTCGACAATCGAATACAGTACAACTGAACCGTCGACAACGGAATACAGTACAACTGAATCGTCGACAACTGAATACAGTACTACTGAACCTTCGACAACAGAATACAGTACTACTGAACTGTCGACAACAGAATACAGTACTACTGAACTGTCCACAACAGAATACAGTACAACTGAACCGTCGACAACTGAATACAGTACAACTGAACCGTCAACAACAGAATACAGTACAACTGAACCGTCGACAGCTGAATACAGTACAACTGAAACCTCATCAACAGAATACAGTACAACTGAACCGTTGACAACAGAATACAGTACTACTGAACGGTCGACAACTGAAGAACTGTTAACAACGCAATACAGTACAAATGAGCCATCGACAACTGAGTATAGTTCAACACAACCGTCGGCAACTGAATACAGTACAACTGGACCGTCGACAACAGAATACAGTACTACTGAACCATGGACAACAGAATACAGTACAACTGAACAGTCGACAACAGAATACAGTACAACTGACCCGTTGACAACAGAATACAGTATTACTGAACCGTTGACAACTGAACTGTCCACAACAGAATACAGTGCAACTGAACTGTCCACAACTGAATACAGTACTACTGAACCGCCAACAACGCAATACAGTACAAATGAGTTATCGACAACTGAATACAGTTCAACACAACCGTCGCCAACTGAATACAGTACAACTGGACCGTCGACAACAGAATACAGTACTACTGAACCATGGACAACAGAATACGGTACAACTGAACCGTCGACAACAGAATACAGTACAACTGACCCGTTGACAACAGAATACAGTATTACTGAACCGTTGACAACTGAACTGTCCACAACAGAATACAGTGCAACTGAACTGTCCACAACTGAATACAGTACAACTGAACCGTCGACAACAGAATATAGTACAACTGAATCATCGACAACTGAATACAGTACTACTGAACCTTCGACAACAGAATACAGTACTACTAAACCGTCGACAGCTGAACTGTCCACAACTGAATACAGTGCAACTGAACTGTCCACAACTGAATACAGTACAACTGAACCGTCGACGACCGAATATAGTACAACTGAACAGTCGACAACTGAATACAGTACAACTGAACCGTCGACAACCGAATACAGTACAACTGAACAGTCAACAACAGAATACAATACAACTGAACCGTCGACAACTGTATACAGTACAACTGAAACCTCATCAACTGAATACAGTACAACTGAACCGTTGACAACAGAATACAGTACTACTGAACCGTCGACAACCGAAGAACTGTCAACAACAGAATACAGTACAAATGAGCCATCGACAACTGAATACAGTTCAACACAACCGCTGTCAACTAAATACAGTTCAACACAACCGTCGACAACCGAATACAGCACAACTGAACCGTCGACAACGGAATACAGTAAAACTGAATCGTTGACAACTGAATACAGTACTAC